TCGATTTTTACTGCTGACTCATGGCTACTGGGAATGGTATTCCTTATATCCTTATGTGCTAGGAACATAAGGAACATCGTCTTGTGCTAAAGCTTAAGGATTAAAAATTATTTTGTGTTTATTTTGTATATTTTCAACATTTGTCTTCAGTAGTTCCTGCTGCAAACCATTGTTTTACATATTACAAAGAATAAGGCTCTTTGCGAATCCCACTGTTGGTCTGTCTTGTTCTTCAGGCTTCTGTATCTAGTGTTTAGTACTTAAGAGAAGATCTGTTCCACCAGGAGAAGAGCACTGCTGATAGACAGCAAGCCATTTAGTTGGTGATCTGCAGAAAGGGGAAAAATGGGAGGAAGTTAGGCCATTTCTTATTTCATAATGGTACAAAGATGCCTCAGAGATTTTTTTGATATATTTAGATATGATGTAAGTAGTGAATGCAAAACAAAGACCCTGAAGCATCTTGCACGGTTTTGAAGGAAAATTTGCAAAGCTGAAAGTACTACTGATTTTATTCAGAAATGAAGTCACGAGTGATTGCCAGGGCAGCAATCTGGGAGGAGAAAATGTGATAAGGGAATAAGGGAGAGAAAAGAGGAAGATCACTGACGGAGAGAGGAAGTTTATTGTTTTGCTTGAAGAAGTAAACACATAGGAAGGGCAGGGTGTTCTTTTTAAAAGAGGAAAATAAGTAGGCTGTAAATACTGCATTTGACAGAAGAAAGACAGGCAAAATCAGAAACTAGACAGAACAAACTGAAATTACATAGTTTCTAGTCTTCCTCCTGGATATTCAGTGCTCTCTTGGGGAACAGCACTGAATAGGGAAAACGAGCAGCAGCTTCTTTCAGCCAGAGCCTTTACCTTTCTAAAATCACCCATCAAAATCAATACAGTTGGGGGCAGTTTGTGAGTCCAGTTTAGACTTTGGTTCAGATAAACAGAGTGATGAAATAGCTGCACAGGCATTAAGAATTCTAGAGAAAACGTATAGCTAAAGACATCAGCAGCAGAGCCGATGGCTGAAAAAGGGGAGCACTCCAAAGACCAGTCAGGAACAATAGCTTGTAGATTACGTGAGAAACTCTTCAAACAGACAGCAAGATAGCAGTAATTCAATCATGGACAGACCTGAGAAGGAGCCATATTAAATAGAAATGGTGTGGAAAACGGAAATATAGCAAAATGAATTGAAAAACAGAGGCTGAAGGATGAATTATGGCAGCAAGGTGGGAGGTTGTGTGGCTGATGGGACATTAGTGTGGCAGCCAAAGACAGTAATTTTTGGAGCAGAAGATGTCAAGTAAATTTGGTAGTGTGACATCACAGCCACAAAGAAAGTAAAAAGAATGATAAAGTAAACTCAGAGGAAGAGAAGTACGGCAAAGAAGGGAAGGTTGGGAGTCACTGCTCTTTGTGTGCTACCTCTTGCTAGGAGCCTTAAAATGGGCATTCCATGAAATAAAGGTTTCTAATGGTTTTCCACCTATTCTGTGCTGGAAATAGACAAACAGGATAAATAATAAAGCTGCAACTTTCAGAATAATTCTATGCAGTCAGTTAAAATGAAAGCTATATAAGTATAAAGATTCTTTTATCACAAACAACTTTATTGACAGTGTTCAGTGTTAGGGCCCTGAGGGCACCAGTAAGTCCTAATTGCCCTGACTAGCCTCACCTGGGATCCTTATCCCCCGCCCCCGCCCTTGCTCCTTGGCCCAAGAGCTCCATTTAAGCTCCGGGCCAGGCACATGCTCTTCCCCTGGGTTAAGTCATAGGTTTATCTATCTCTAGTCTTGACTCTTGGATACACGTTGGACCTATGTTGTAGTCTTGTCTCCTGTTCTGTCTCCAAGCCCCTCTCTTGCTGCTCCTGCCTAGCCTTCGTGATGGACCCTGGCCCTGGTTCATCCCCTTGCAGAGCCTGGGGCTGTGGATGGACCCTGCTACCAGTGCCTGGCTCTGCTCCCTGCTCAGGTACTGTGGGTCTGTGCCATGGTCACCCTCAGCTCTTTGCTTCTCCCTCTTGAGCAGCAGTCCCTGCCTGTGCTGCTCCCTGATATACAGTTACCTGCATACAGATATCTGTATACCTGATATACAGATATAATGGCACCATTGCAAGGCACCAATGTTTTCCAGTAACGATAATCTCAAAAATGTTTTAGCCTTTCTTTTATTCTATAGCTAAGAACAAGACAGTGGGAGATCCTTGCTGCACTTGCTGCAAATACTGGGAGGAATCTTTGAGCTTAGCACTCAAAAGTAGAAATGGATGACTTAGTGGCAAAACTAGCCCTACCCACAACAGAGATTTTTTTTTCCAATGCAAAAAGCTCCCCAAACACTTCATGTAGATGAGATGTTAATGTAAAAACAGCTTTCTGAAAACTTTTTTTGTGGAAGTGCAGTTATTTTTCTAGCTCATCTTATAGGTTACTCTAATCAGGAATCAGTGAAGCAGGGCCAAGAATGGAATAAGTTCATTTGTGAATCATACTCCTGCTCAGATCTCCCAAACATATAAAACTAATGCAATATAAATTACTCTTTCAAAGTGGAGCATTTCTTGTTTCTTCAAGCTCTCTAAAAATCAGGCTTGTAAGTGCTGTTCCATTCTATTAGTAGGCTGACAATTGTTGTTTGGCTGCTGCTTCAAAAAACAGTAACAAACCTGGCAGCTGTTGATTATAAACAAACAATGTAAATCCCCCCCCTTCAAAATTCCAGTCCATTCATAGTATTATGACAGTGAAAAGCACTGTTGTCTGAAAGATGACAGTATGGAGAATAACCTGACAATAGTTTGAAGGGAGGCTCTACAAAATTTGTGAGTACAATATTAATGCTTGCAGATGGAA